TTTGATTTTTGAGTTAAAAAATCATTAGCATAGAGCATTTTCTCAAATGGAAATGACTGATGAGCCTAACTTTAAATTTTATGACTAGATGGATCTTTTTTGATTTTTCATAGTTTGATGATATATTTAAATATTTTTCTTTTAATAAAATGATTTAACTAATCAGTCACTGAATCGTAACTGATCACGTGTAATTTTTCCTTCTTTTTTTTGCAAAATTAGAACTATTTTGATTTTTGAGTTAACAAATCATTAGCATGGAGCATTTTCTCAAATGAAAATTGCTGATGAGCCAAACTTTAAATTTTATGACTAGATGGATCTTTTCTAAAAAATTCGATAATATATTTAAGCTTTCTCTAAAATTAAATAAACTTCTGCTAATTAAGAGCCAGGGTCACTTTTTTTTCTAACTAAATATATAGTTTAATTAAATATGATGAGTTATTAATTAATTTTCTTCTCATGGATTAGGTTTGGAGAACTAAGATTGATGACATGACAAGAACAATACATGAACTTGAAGCTAGAGATAAGTATGTAATTATGATCTCTATTTAATTTTCGTATATTACTGTTTGTTTAAAAATCTATATAAATGTTACTAAACATTTTATTGATCGTGCATATAATAATATTAACTCGATTATTACTAGAGAAAAAAGATACTGCCACTAATTGTATATTTTATCGTAATATAAGGGTCTGAACCATTCGACCATCTAATTTGGAAAATATATAGGAAGTTTATAAATGTTATGTACATTTTATAAAAAATACATTTATACACTAATGTATATTTTAAGTTTTTAACGGCGTTGATAAACTAGTTGTTTTAACGATAACGATATATATTTATAACAGGCATTTTGCTGGAGAAGAGTTATCAAATCTTGGTATGAAAGAATTGAAGCAGTTGGAGCGTCAACTCAGAGTTGGAGTTGAACGCATTCGATCTAAAAAGGTTAATTTATAAATAAGAAAAATTTAAATATCGACATTTAATATTTTTTAATTTTAATTAATTTCCACCAAATTTTATAGTTGATATATAATTAAGAGCTAAATCTAATTATAGTTTATTTACTTTCATGTAACAGAGGCGTATCATTTCCGAACATATTCATTGGCTTAAGAGAAGGGTGAGACTCTAATTAATGGGAAAATAGTTTTTAAAATTTTAATTTACAAAAAAGAATAAATTAATTTGGAATTTCTGCAAATTATGTGGGTTAATTAATATTTTTGTATTGGTTGATGCTTGTTTATTGATAGTTCATTTGAGTTTTAATTTTCTGTTAGCGTGTGTTTGGTATGTAGGAAAATAATTTTTTGAAAAACATTGAGTTTCTTACTTATTTTTAGGGTTCGATAAGTAATTATTAAAAAAAAAAAACCAAAAACATTTATGTATAAGTTAATGTAGTATTACGAGGGTGGAATGAGATGGAGAGTGGAGAGTTAAAATTCAGGGGTAGAATAATCGGGAGACATTAATAAACTTAAAATCAAAGTATATTTTTTAAAAAAATTTCCCCATATCAAACACACCATAGAAATAGCTAAGCATATACATAAGCATACTACTAATTAATAGACTAATGCAAAATGTTAATGATTTAGAAAGTTAAAAGAAACATGTTAATGAATCTAAAAAGAAAGTAAAGTAATTAACTATACATTTTTAATTAATAATGAGCTTAATTGTGTATTCATCTTACTTATGCAGCATAAAATCCTTCATGAGGAGAACATCCATCTTCAAAAGCAAGTGAGTTTGTCTATACGTACTCCAATATATATATATTTTTTAATATTTCAATAGATTAGTCTCAATTAATTATCTGACTACAAAGTATCACGTTAATTTTAAAACAAAGGGTATATAATACTAACATTTTATGAACTTGGAATGGGAAGAAATGCGAATAGGCCTCACACATTTCATTACGACATTTTCTATATTTTTAATTTTGTTTAAATTTAAAATACCAAGTACTATCAAATTTTAAAAAGAAATTAGCTCTTATTTTCTCAATAATATTTATCTAATGTACAGAAAAAGCTTTTTCTAGGAAAATCTAGGTTGCATCAACTGCATATATACAAAGGAGGATTTCATTAAAGATTCTACGATTTATGTATATGTATATGTGTCTCTACTTATCTATCGCGTAATGCAGGTAAAATTATATGAAGTAGAAGGGAGCTCAAGGATTCTCGATACAAATCCAAGTGAGTTACTTTCTAAGGTAAACTACTTGAACAAATATTTTTATTAATCATATGTATTATTTAGTCGTGTTATATTAATTTGATTATTCTAACATTTCCCTTTTTATTTTCTCTCTTTTGCTTTTTTTATGGTGGTGTAGGGATGAGGATTATATGATTTACAGAGCTTCAATTGCTACCTTAAGTGGACGTATACGTAGCATATATTATAAATAGTGTGTATGATATATTTAAGGATGATAATTTTTTTTGTGTTGTTTGAATATATTTATTGACTATCTAGAATTTTCATTCCAAGTTAATGTTAGGTAAAAGAAAAATATGAAGTTACTATGTTAATATTATAATTTGAAATATGAATTTTATGCTCAATTCTAAGCAACTCTTAATTACATATGCATCTAAAATTATATATGCATTATCTATATATGAAATATTGTATAGTTTGATTTTGTCGTATATTGCAAAAACAAAATTGATACTATTTTTCATTTTTTAAACCTTTTACCGTTATATTGAAGGATTGAAAAGGAAAATTGAGGAAATTCGTTGATAAGTGAGAAATTAAAATCATTGTTGAGTGGGTATGACGTTATATGTAATCTATTCATCATATTGAATTATTCATATTGTCATGATTTTATATACTTTTAAAGCTACAAAGAGAAGAAAGTACATTTTAGATATGTAACATACAAATTATATCAAAACAATATGACTTCAAACTGTGTTTGACCAAACTATTGTTGGAAAAATAGCATACACAGCGGAAGCATTCCAGAATCATATATCTTGCATGAATATAAATAACAATCACAAATAGTTATTACATACAAAGTATGCTGAAAATTAACTCAGGATTACCTCTTGAAGCGTGTGCAGATATCCTGAAGTAAATCCAACTCCAGTTCTATAGTCTTCTACAGTGATCCCAATCAACAACTGAACTCTCTCAATACTTGGGTGGGCAAGTATTGTATAGAATTCTCTCATTAAATCTAGGTTAGAAAAATCCCTATTTATAGAGATGTCTTCCTAGTCCAAAGAGGAGAGGAAAAACCAATTCTTTTTCTTTTAGGAGATGTCTTCCTAGTCCAAAGAGGAGAGGAAAAACCAATTCTTTTCCTTTTAGGAGATGTCTTTCGGAAAAACCAATTCTTTTTCTTTTAGG